AAAGAAACACTGCCATCTATCTACCATATAGTCTAAAGATATTTTTCTCAGTTATATTTTTGCAAATGCTTGTCAGTTATTACCTTTCTCCTTTCATTAAAAAAATAAATACAAAGAAAGGAAAAAAGGAAGGAAGGAAAGAAGAAGAGAGAGAGAAAGAAGAAAGGAGAGGAAAAAACTGCCATGCTCTAAAGTTTTCTGATATTAACCCTTTGAATACTGGTATTTTTCATCTGATCCAGGAGCTCTTTGTTAGATAAGCTCTTTGTTGATATAAGATTGTGCCAGAAAGTGAATAAAAACTGCCTCCTTCTTCATGAAAGTCTTGCTCTGGTAAAAGGACAGCAGGACAAAACAGTGTTACTTACTGGTGTAGCTACTCAAGTTTGGCTTCAGCTCTTTGTCTTGTCATAAGCAGGTATCAATTTGGGTACTGACAGTGGCTGACAGTTGGGTGGTTTCACCCATGTGATCATCCAATTACAGACTTTCAAAGCTGGAGCGAACCGTAGGCACCATCTAGTCCACATGCCTACTTTCACAGTCGAGGATCCCGACAGCCTGGAAGTTCTAGCAAACTTCCCAGGGCCATGCAGCGGTCCTTCTGCAATGTAAAGTGGAGGCCAGTGTCCCAAGTCCCTCACCACCAGCGTGACCTAGGATCCCTTTTGTCTGAGCTCCCTGATGGGCAGCCTGCTGGCCCCATGTAGTGTGGAGATGTGGCAGGGGTCCTGGTTGCCTCTTGGGAGAAGCAGGGACAGAAGGTGAGCATGGGGTTTCCTGACAGATACAGCTGTGTCGTGTTCCAGCTGTGTCTTCCCTGTGGAATGTCCTTGGGAAAGTTCCTTAAATTCTCAAACCTGTTTCTTCTTTTTTTTTTTTTTCTGGTACCAGGAATCGAACTCACAACCTTGCACTTGCCAGGGAGGTGCTGTGCCACTGAGCTAAATCCCCAGCCTTTCAAACCTATTTCTTACTTTTGTAAACATTTCATCTTGAAGGTTGCTGTGAGGATGAGATGAGGGTGAGGGACACCAAGCTGTTGTTCTGTGTGGGGGAGGCAGAATAATGACCCCCAAATATGCCTGCATCCTCATCTCTGAAATCTGTACATGGGTTATGTTGCTGGCGTGGAGTTAAAGCTGTTGATTGAACTAAGATTACTAATCAGCTGACCTAGAGATTAGGGGATCATCACTGACCTTTGCCCCTGGCCTTTTCAGACCTCAGACTTCCAAGAACTGTGTGATGATAAACATGGGTTGTTTCAAGCCACTGATTTCTGATAACTTTTACAGCAGGCAACAGGAAAAAATACCTTTCATGTGAAAACTACTGCTGCTCCCCCAGAACAGGTGCTTTATCATTTTTTGGTACATACAGCTTTTGCAGGACACATTGTGCTATGCTATTCTTTGGCATACTCTGTTGGAGCACAAGCTCACCACAAAGGGAAGCCTACTTCTTTCAAGGGTGTAGTTTCTCTCCATTATTTCTTTATCTTTTTCAGCTCTTTTAGTTTAGGTGGGCATTTGGGAGTCACTGAACTTGAGAGTGCCAAAGTACTTTACCATAGCTCAGAACCTCCTGTTCTTTTTTTTTGTTTGTTTTGTTTTGTGTGTGTGTGTATGCCTGATCGTAGGTTTTAGCAGTCTGTTCAGAAAGTACTGCTCTCCTGCATTTGGGTTGGACCCTATTTTCCAGGACAGAGTTGAAGGAGAGACAACAACTGAGGTGCCATGGGGCCTGGTGCTGGTGGCAGTTTGTGGTCTCTGCTGCTTGCAGCACCCGTCATCCTGTTTGATGCAATTCTCCCATGTGGGGTGAAAGGCTTGTGGCTGGAGTAGCTACTTCCTTTGCCCCTACTTCCTTATACTGATGGGATATTGGGACTTGAGCTTCAGTAGTTGCGTATTCACTGAAGTACATAAAATTGCATGCAGCAACGTTAAACCATGACTGTTGCCAGAGATGAATTTATGTTAGGAGAGGAGAAAAAGCACAGAGTTTCAAAGTAATTTTGACACATTCGTGTCTGGGTGCTTCCTGCATCTGGGTCTGTAACTCTCTGCTTCTCTTCATCATGCCACCCCCACATTTGAGATCTGGCTATGGGAAGAGCAACCAGTAGAGCAAACATCTCTTTGGTTCTTCAGAGTAAAAAAAACTGTTCCTTTTCTGGAACAAGGCATAGAATCACAGGAAGGGCTGATACTTTTTAGCTCTTTCTTTTTCTAAGTTGTTCTTACCTTTTAAAAGTAAAGTAGCTAATTTCTAGTTTCAGGTAAAGTAGTAAAGCATTTATTCTATTTAGTTATAGTATATGCCATGCTATGCCCACAAAACTCAGAAAGATTACAGAATTAGACCACTGGAAAACAAGGAATTTAAAATAAAAACAATTCAAATAACCACAATAAGACACTATTTCCCTACATCAAATTAGTAAATATCATAAATTATATCCTCAGTGTTTTGCTAAGTGTGGGTGGGAAGGATTATTTATTTGTTTATTTTAGATTTTTTGAGACAGGGTCTCATCCTGTAGTTCAGGCAGGCCTTGAACTCACTATGTAGTCCAGACTGGCACCGAACTCATGGTGATCCTCCTGCCTCAGCCTCCCAAGTGCTGGGATTACAGGAGTGTGCCATCATGCCCAGCCCGGAAAACATTGTTGTGTAGCCTGCTGGGTCCCCAGTGGGGATACAAAGTTTTCAGAAAGCAAATTGGCCTCCTGTTTAAAAATCTTAAATGTGTTTATGTCACCTTGAAATTTTACTGTTTGGAATCCATCCTTTCTTTATTTAGTTTGGTTTCTTTACCTATAACATAGACATCCTTTTACTTTATAAAGGGATGTGAGAAACTGAGAGTGGATAATTAGCCTACAGTTTGTGACCAATGAGTGTTAGGTAGAATTATTTATAAAAAATTAAATCTTGCCAGAAAAAATTATTACAGTACAGTATTTTGGCCTTGAAATTGAGAGCAGCAATAGCACCTTGTACTGGAGTGAACTTAAAAAACATTCAGAAAGAGAAGTTTGGCTGTGCTTTCCAGCTTCCCACCACTCACTCCCCCATGCAGTGCTTGAATAGATTACTTATGATGTCTGAAAGTTATGCTAATTAAAAGGCACAATTTAACTCAGAAGCATTGCCATAAAAGACTAAAGACTTCTCTGACATAAGCAGATTACACATGATATTTTTATGGATTGCCTTAGGGAGAAGCTTGGTGTGCTTATGAAGGACATACCATGGCACACTTAGTTACCTGGAGTGGAGAATAGATTTAGCGATCTTCCAGTGTGGATCATTGTGGTACTAGGACCCGGGCTCTGGAAGGCTTTCACTGGGTTTGAAGGTGGGATGTTGCCAGTTCTTGAGGAAAGGGACAGCCTGGTTCTGGATGGTGATGATGGGCTATGATTTTGATGGGGAAGCCAAGGTCTGCTGTGTGCAGAGAGTGCTGCTGTTTGTGAAGGTTGCGAAGAAGGTCTGCAGTAGGAGCCAATGGAGAGGGAGCTGCACACTATGGTACAAACCAAGCTCAGTTCCCAGGGATGTGAGCCACAAGAAGCTGTGAGAATGGGGTGGGAGTCAGTGCAGAGCAGGGATAGGGCTGAGAGGGGCTGATGACAGGTTCCTGGGACAGGCCGTCTCCCGCACCCAGGAGCTATTTTCAATGGTGTATTTATTGCTGATCACTCAGCCCATCCATATGTGGAAATCTCTCTCTCCTAGCTCCTACCCTAAGCTCTAGACAGGATGCATTCGGACTCTGTCTGCATCTATGCATCACCACTTAGCTGACTAGCAGAGGTGACCCTCAGCAGTGCCACATTTGCTTCTGTCCAGGTACCTGGTGTAGAATACTACTCACAAACTTCCCAGGATACCTGCACATCCCAAGGGGGCAAGGAATGCTCTGAGGAGCTCTGATGTCTTCAGGGGAATTCCCTGTCCTGTGCCTGAGTCCAGGGTCTTGCTGAACTGAGCAAAATCTAGACCCTCAGACAGAAACAGAGCTTAACAGTGTCTCATTACCTTATTCTTTCCCTGCTTCTTTTAAACTTATTTGTCTTTGACATAGGACATACCATCCACTACATCTACTGAGGACTAAAAATAGCTATGATTCCATTTGCTTTGTAGAAAATGGGGGGCAAGGAGATGGGTCTAATGGTCTGATAGTCATGACATCAGACATCAGATAACAGATGTCATGATAGAGGGATGAATTCAGATGGAATACAAGTACAGTGATGCCTTGGTTCACAAAGTTAATTCTTTCCATGATTCTGGTCACAAACCAAAATGGAGGAGAACTGAATCAAATTTCCCCATAAGATCAACATTGAACCTAACCATTAAATTTGATTTGGTTGCTGTCCAGTTTGGTTTGGGACCAGAAAAATGGAAAGAATTAAGTTTGTGAACTCAGGTACCACTGTACAGGGACTCTTTGGTTCTTTGAGCTTGCTCATCATTTTGAGTCTCTTTCCTGGTGCACTACCAAACAGAAAATGAAAATGAAATTGGAAAGTCCCATTTAGGCAATCCTTTCTGTGATGCATAACATTGCCCAGAAATACCCTTGTCTGAAGCTGTCTCAAGGGCTATATATTATTATGATGCATAGGTTAAGAGAATGTTCAGCTAGGGTCAGTTGGAAACCTGGTGTCCTGGCAGATATTTCCAGTTAGATGATGACTATTTGTAACTGTCTCCGTATCTGGCTTAGACTTTATGGAGACTATTGATCTGCTTGCTGAGCCAAATTTTGCATTACTATAAATTACTTGGGTAATGTTGGCATTTTTGTACCTCTTTGCTTAAATTAAAAGTGCATGAGAAAAGCCCAGAGTGACCCAGGGATCACAAAGAACTATTAGTGAGCAATTCCTAATAGAAACAATTTATACAACCCATAGATATATGAAATTCAGACATAGGAAAGTAAATGGAAAGCATTTAACCGGCTATTTTTTTTTCAGTTTCACATGAGCTTTTGGTTACTCCATGATGCCCACTGAACTTTTGTAAATTATGGTAAGTACCTTGTCTGAATTCCTCAGAAATATGCCAGTTGGCTCCATAAAATTTCAGTTTAACAGAAATAGTTATAGTAATATCCTGGAGATGCCTCTGGCTTCAGCAGAATTTTCTAATATCAGCTGTCTTTATTTTAAACACAGTAAACTTTGAACTAGTTCACATTTGCCCAATCATCAAATAAATTCAGGGAGTTGCTGCTAAAATAGCATTAAGGAGAGTCAGACATTCCAAAATCAATGTAACACACTGAGTAGTAGACTGACCCTGATTCTTTTTTTCATGCTCCAGGTCTTAGGAAACATCCTTCTTAATTTTCATATGCAACCCAGTGGAGTTCTCTTGAAAAGGACAGGTGGTTTCAGTGCCTTAGGCTCATTGTCTATTGGTTCTAAAGGGTAAGGAGGAAGGGAGTGTGGCTGAGTTTTTTAAGAAGGGTCCAATGAGGAGAGGGGACAGTGGGTGGCATCATGGAGTAACTGAGTTCTTTCATAGCCTTTAATACATCTTATAAGATGTTCATATCTTGCATCATACCATTTGGGCTTAGTGGATATTCTGGGAAATTTTGTGGGTTTCTTGAAGACTCCCCACCCACCAGGAATCTCCCACTGCAGCTCCCATCATCTGGGTGAGGGTTCCTTTAATTGCTGCTTTACACTCCATCCATGAAGCTCTGCTCCTCCAGCAGTTTTTTCTGATTATTTGACTCCATTCCCAAGCAAAGCTCCCCAAGAAGGGAAGAATCCCAGGCCCAATCTTTCCTCTACCCACTTGACTCAGAAGAAATCCCACACATCTTTGCCCCTGTCCATGGTTCTGCAGCTCATGCTCATGCTACTCTGTCTCATTTCTCTTTGCTTGGCCATCTCAGACCAACAGCTACTTAACCTCTTGCCCATCCATTTCTCGAGTGTGCCCAGAATCAAATCCCTTCATTCCTGTGTTCTATGGAATGCATGTAAAACTCAAATGAGCCCTGCAAGCCTATCCTGGCTCAAGGCAAGGGGAGGCAACCACCATGATTTCTGGAGTTCTACAATGTTATTCTATAAAGGAATTCCTTTGTGTGCCACTTCATTCTTGATCTACCTCCCACAGCTCACATAAACTCCTCCAGAGAGATGATTAGCTGTCAAAAAAATTAGCTTTGGCTACCTTCTTTCCAAGTTCTGCATAATATCTCATTTTGGAAATAACACTACTTTAAACAGTTGGACCAGCTAAAATGGAGACAGTGAAAAACCAGTTTTAGTGTCTTGTTATTATAGTTGCTCTGTGTCTTGGTTACTTTTCTCTCATTGCTGGGACAAAACACCTGACACCCAAAATTAAAGAAGGAAAGATTTATTTAGCTCACAGTTTGTGGAGGTTTCAGTCCATACTTGGCTGGCTCCAAAGCAGAGTGGTACATGGCAGAAGGGCAGTAGTTCATGTGGCAGAAAACAGCAAAAGCAGCAAGAGCAAAAGGCGAGGAGTGGTAGCAAGCAACCTCTTTCTCTCCCTTACATATGCAAACTATCTGCCCCAGGGCAGGTGTAGCACTCACAGCCATAATCCCAGCATTAGATCATGGATCAATCATAAACTCTAAAAGCCTGCTCCATGACTGCATGAGGCTTTGAGGGTACATCAAGACACAAACCATAACATTCCACCCCTGGCCCCCCAAAGACTCATGTGCATCCCTTTATGCAAAAGACATTTTACTCCAGCTCTAAGAGTTGCTAAAATCCTAACAGTTTCAACATTGCTGAAAAGTCCAAGTTCCAAGTCTCCTCCAAGATATAAGACAAACTCTTAGCTGTGAGCCCTTGTACAAATGAAAAGTTAAACACTTCCAACATCCAATGGCACAAAATAAATATTACCATTCCAAAAGGTACAAACAGAGGGGATAAAGAGAATTGGGACTGAAGCAAGTCCAAAATCCAGCAGGGTGAACATTATGTCCCATAGTTCCATGTCCAGCATCTGAAGCAATCTGTGGCACATTGTGAGCTCCAAAGGGCTTGCATGACTCCACTCCTATGGCTATTCCAGTGGTTACAGGTCCCATGGCTTCTCTCTTGGGCCTACTTTGCTCCCTCCTGGGAGCTTTCCTTAGACAATCCACATTCCTGGCTTTCCCAAACTTCTGAGGTCTTCACTGAACCTCTCACTTCACAGTCACAGCTTCACATGCTGCCCTCTCAGGGGCACACTGTCTGGCCTCCCAGGCCTTCTGAAATCCAGGTGGAAGCCTTTTAAGCCTCAGAACTCTTGCATTCTGTATGCACCTAAAACCAGTGCCACATGGATGATGCCAAGGTCTGCTGTCATGTGGAGCAGTAGTCTTTCCCCTCTCTTGGTCATAGGGGTCAAGTGCCTGGATTGCTGGGCACTCTGAATCCAACTCTGAGGAGCAAATTCTCTATGCTGCCACCATTGTGGAACCTGCTACAGCCACCACTGCCATTCTGGAACATGGCACTCTACAGCTTTCTTCTCAAAGCAAAGTCTTTCAGCTTTGCAGTTTTGAGGCTGCAAAGGGTAGAGACTTGCTGCTTCTTGCGATGCTCTCAGCATGAGAGATTCTCTTGTTCCTTCTCAGCAGTGGAGATCTCCTCAGCCTTATCTTTGCAGTCCACAGCTTTACTGGAGCTCCTTTGTGGCCAAACTCACAACATTTTAAATCATCCTGCTGGGCTCTTTGCTCTTGATTCTCAATATAAATCTGGCTAGAAGCCCCCAACAATAGCTATGCCACCGCCTAAACATTCAATTGCCTTGAGATTTGTTTTCCCAGATTAATTAATCCACCACCCTTAATCTTAGTCTCAGGCAAAGTCTCTGGACACAAGCAAAAGGCAGATAAACTTTCTGCCAAGCCATAGCACACATCATCTGGAGTCCAACAACCAATGCAGTCCGTCTTCCCAACAGAAACCTCCCAAAGGCAGTCTTTTTTTTTTTTTTTTTTTTTTTTTTTCTGGTACCAGGAATCAAACTCATGACCTTATGCTTGCCAGGCAAGCGCTGAGCTAAATCCCCAGCCCCCCAAACACAGTCTTTACTGGCAGGATTTCTATCAGCCTTCTGGTCTTCTGAACTTTGACCAGAATCTCCCATACAGAACAGCTGAAGGCATTTGAGCTCTGTTTCTGGCGACAGCTCCGAACCTTTCCAAATACTTCCAGCAAGCTATTTCCAAGGCTCTTGAACTACTTGGTCAGGTACAGTCATAGCAACGACCCCACTTCTCTGGTACCAAATTCTATCTTTTACTTTTCTCTCATGCTGAGACAACATACCTGATGCCCAAAAATAAGGACGGAAAGGTTTATTTAGCTCACAGTTTGTGGAGGTTTCAGTCCATACTTTGTTGGCTCCAAGGCAGAGTGGCATATGGCAGAAAGGCAAAAGTTCATGGTGACAGAAAACTGCAAAAGTAGCAAGAGCAAAAGGGGAAGGGTGCTGGCAAGCAACCTCTTTCTCTCCCTTACATATGCAAACTCTCTGCCCCAGGGCAGGTGTAGCACTCATAGGCATAATACCAGCATTGGATCATGGATCAATCATAAACTGTAAAAGCCCACCCCAGGACTGCATGAGGCTTTGAGGGGACATTCAGACACAAACCATAACACTCTGCAATATTTTAGTAACCCAAAAAGAGGTGATATCAGTACATTTGTTAGGAGCTAATATGTAAATGAAGAAAGGCTTAGTTTGGCAGGTTATATTGACAAGGAGTCAGAAGCACTTCAGAGCCTAGGAGTGTTCTGATTGACTAGTAATGTCTGCAGTGATCTGGGGAATATGATGATGCTGGGTCCAAAACTTACCGTCCCAGTGGATCCTGGGAGATTCATTAACAAACTAGATTTGATGCGTTGTTTCTGGGATCTCATGCTTGGTGGTTTATACATTGTTTTTCCTTTTGAGAGGTATACAGAAGTAAAAATATTATTTGGGCAAAAGTGGTTGGCTTTTCCTTTGATAAGTCATTTAGACCAAGGTTTAGTGCAGAACTTGGCCTCTTGCTCCACTTCACAAGTGGGATCTTAGGCAAATTTAGTTTGCTTAACCTTTTTCTCAGCCTTACATAAGCACCTGACTAAAATCAGATTTAAAAGGTTAAGGATCAGGTTAAAAGGTTAAAGATCAGGTTTAAAAGGTTAAGGCTAAGAGAAGTTTATGGGAAAAAGTGAAATAATTCCCTCTACAAGAAGAAATCTGACTCTTTGCTGGTGGAGTTGATTGTCATGTATAATTAACTGTATTTATTTAATAAGATTTGGGTGGATGTAATAGAAACCCCCAAAATATTAGAGGTTAAAACAAGTGGCTATTAAATCATTTTTTTTAAAAGTAAAAGATAGGCATTACCAGATCTAATATTGTGGCCATATGCTATGTATATTGTGGTTGTCAGGGTGTATTGGGGACCTAGGCTCTTTTTATTGGCAAGGTTACCTCATGTCCTAAAATGACTGCTGAAACTCTAGTTATCCTGTCTGCATTCTAGGCTGGAGGAAGGATCAAAAGACAAAAACAACCTCTCTCAAATCAGTCATCTCCTTTCCACAACTTTCCTGGAGTCTCACCCAACACTTTCATCCTATCTCACTGGCCAGGTGTGTAGCTTTAAGGAAGCCTGGGAAATATAGTACCTTATACAAGGAGGTGATATTTCTTCCAGATTTTAAAAAAGTCAAGATTCCTCTCCTAAGCAGGAAAGAGAAATAGGAAAGGTTGTGGGTAATCAGTCTTCTATGTTACACAGGTAATATTAGAAAAAACAGTGACTTTAAAAGCTCTTTTTTTTTTACATATTTGGTACACGAAAATGTTTGCTGAATTATAAAATGCGTAGGCAATGTAATCTGGTTTATATAGTATGTAAGAGTTTAAACCAATTCAAAGACTACACTATTTGATGAAAGTAAGTATGGAAATGAGCACTATTTAAATAATGGTGTCTTTTTCTCCTAATAAGTTAAACATTATGACTGTA